ATATCAATTCCGTTGTGTATGAATTTGAGTGTAGTTGTGGATATGACTACATAGATAGAACATCTCAACGTTTGGATTTCAGAATTAAACAACATTTACCCGCCAGAATTTTGAATCCGGACGCTAGTGGTAGTCAGCTGGTGAATACATCCGGGTCTTCCATAGCACAGCATGCTATAAACAGTAGGAAATGTGTGTATGGTTTTACCATTCTGTCTAGGTCGCACTCAGTATTTCATCTTAAAGCATTGCAGTCCATTTACATTAGATCTCGTATGCCTTCTCGCTGCAAACATAGAGATTGCTTGTTAGGTTTGAATGTGATTGGACTCTAGCGTTATTTTTTTTTCTCATTCCCTCTTTTCATCCTTTTAGTCCTCTAAGATAAACCCAGAAAATAAACTTGATAAGATCTCTGTCAAAACCGGTCGTTTTAGTTTTTAGTTAAAATGCCATCAAAAACTCACTTATTCGTTGCTGATATATATATATATATATATATATATATATTATTAAAAATATTAGATGCTTTTTTCACAATTCTTATATATATATATATATATATATATAATACCCCACGCCGACAGTACAACACGGAACTTCATGATCTGTGGAATCATCATGTACCGATTTGAATTTACACCGTTTTGTTAATATTTGCGGTTCTCACAAGATATGTTGCTCTTTGGATGAATGTTTAAATGCTCAATTGCACTATAATCTAATCTTGAATTTGAATTTAGGCTCAAACTAAGAATGAAATCTAAGAATTTGAAACTCTAATTTTCGATAAAACGGACTCCATTTGAGTACACACACACACACACACACATACTATATATATATATATATATATATATATATATATATATATATATATATACAGTGCTGTTCCATAAAAGTGATTTTTTTACTAAAAATATTTTTGTTTATTGTTTTTGCGGTTAAAATAATTTTTAATCTTAATAATATAAAGACCCCTTCCCAACCTCCTAGTAAAAAAGTTTATTCACCCTAAGGTATTCTATTGATAATTATAAATTTGGATATAAATGAGATGCAGGAAAAAAATTCTGTGCCAAAAAAGTGACTCATATCGCATTCTAATGATTAAACTGGTAATTTTAAAGAACATTTGGCAAAATATTGAAAACTATTTTACAATACACTCATAACAATATTCTAGAGAATTCTAGAACAGCTTAAATTAAATCAAGAGTATTCCAGAATATTACAGAAAGCCTCATACAGTATTAAAAACAGCTTGAAATAGCCACTCAAGTCACTAACCAGATGAAAGGGTACAAACAGGCATCAGAACCACTTAAGGCATCTATTATTGCCCTCTCAAAAGCAGGCAAGTCTATGAGAGAAATTGCAGAAATTGCTATAACTTTGCAATCAACTGTCTCACGAGTGCTTAGGGCACATAATGATGACACTCCTGCTCGAAGGAATGAAACAAGGGGACGAAAGAAAAAGATTGATGATAGAACTGGCAGGGTAATCAAGAGAGAAGTTGCAAATAATAGGACTATAACTAGCCAAGAAATTTCAGCCAGTCTAAGCGAAGAGCAAGGTGTTAGTCTTGCCTCTTCAACTGTCCGTCAGAACAAGGTTACAAATCTTTTTAGAACAAGGCTACAAATCTTGTACACGAAGGTTTAAGCCGCTAATAAGCAAAACCAACAAAACCAAGAGACTTGAATGGGCTCACTATTACAAAAATGTCACCGTAGAAGACTGGAAGAATGTTCTTTTCTCCGATGAAACGAAAGGTGAGCTAAATTCAAAGGATAAGGTGAGTCACTTTTATCGAACAACATTGTATATATATATATATATATATATATATATATATATATATAACGTCATCCACAGACAGACTGTTTCGCTGTTTCACAGCTCATCAGTGTGGCTAGACATCCGGTTGCCTCTAGCTAGGATATGCTAACACATATATATTTGTGCGTGTGTAAAAAATTTCAGATAGAGTATATCTGAAAAAGGACAATATGAAAAAAAGGCAATAGGAAAACTTTCTTTAAACGATGCGTTTCGTTTTATGAGGGACTTTATTAAGGAACATTTTCTTTGCAAAAGTCCTTCAGAGGATGAAACGTTCTATTTATTACTGTATATCTACTGTTGCATCAACCTATATATATATATATATATATATATATATATGTGTGTGTGTGTGTGCGCCCGTGTGTGTGTGTGTGTTTGTGTTTTGTGTCTGTGTGTATGTTTGTATTGGGATTAAATAGGGATTACACTCCGACAGGATGATAGAATATGGAAAGACATAAAAACCGTATATAAATTTTTCATGTTTCGCTTTTTATTTATGCTTCACTAGAAAATGAAATTCGGACGCCATAATGAAATTGAACACAGAAGAGGCTGTGCTATGGAATAGTTTGCTACAATACCGTAAATTTCTACAAAACCAAAATATTAAACTTAAAAACTGGAGTTATTTCCATAGATTGACTCGTCATTTCGAGACTTTCACATGGATATCAGGTATGGCGCCAAATTCATCTAGAAATATCTAAATTATCAGCTGTATACAAATGCTTTCTTAGATCAATAGTTAAAAATTACTTTGAACGAATGAATCCTGTAAGTCTTAGTGAGAACCATCTTTCTTTGAACCTTGTGAACTGGCGCTACATAATCACAAAGAACTGCACCAAATAACAGAAACCACATCACTTGAGCAACAACTAAAATGAATCGCACTTGTAAATCGAAGGGGAAATAATGATATAATAAAGCTGTTGGCATTCCACACTACTTCAAACAAAAGGTTAGGAAGGAAACCCTCATTAATAATGGAAAGAGTAATAACAGTTACTGGACTTGGGAAACTTATTTTTCTGAAAATCTGTTTTAAGAGAAAGTTATAAATTTCTAAGCCACAGCATCACTGGCTACTCGATCCATGAATGCCAAATGTTTCCTTATAAGGAAACGGTTAATATTACCATTACCATGAATGCATTATACATTAATTATAAAATAATATTAATAATGATAATGACAATAATAATAATAATAATTACGATGATGATAATAATAACATGATGGCAATAATAAAAAGTGATAATAATGATGATAATAATAATGATAATAATGGTGAGCATAATAATAATGATGATGATGCTATTAATGATGATAATAATAATAATGGTGAGCATAATAATAATAATGCTGATGATGCTATTAATGATGATAATAATAATGATGATAATTACAATAATAATGAGTGACCGAGTCAAAAAGTCAAAAAACTATTTTTTTATTTTATTTTTTAATAAGCAGCTGTAAGTATTCAACAAATTCAGAAGCAGTATTCTGTGGTAATTCTGAATTATAATTCAGATGTACGAGGAGAGATACAAATTGATTGATTTTTTACGGCTTATCAACCTTTTGCAGGATATCTAAACAAGAAAATGTTTTTACATTGTAAGAATTTTTTGTCGGGGTAATAATTTTTTGGTGATACAAGTCTTACTAATTAGCCGATATCTGGGGGGCGGGCAACTGGTGGATTATTACCTTTTCCAAGACTATTTGAGCTTAAGTGAATATAACGAACCCGACCGGAATTGGAACACGGCTGTCCGATTGATAATTCAGAGCCATTAACCATTACACTCTCCCACCGTGCGCATCCAAGCTTACAGCACCTGGTATTCCTAACCGATTACCCATCTAGATACTGTCCAGGCTTGATGTTGCTTAACTTTGTTGGTCGTACAGGAGTCGGCGTTTCAACGTGATATGGCAGTTAGCCGGAGACATACAGAGAAGAAGGCATGGTGATGTTGAAAATAAGGAATGCAAAGTTATGAGACACTAGACGAAACAAATTCAACAGCTCTGATTGAGTGAATAAAAACTCAATTTGCTACAAAGTATATTTATTTATATAGTAGCCTAGAAGCCACCGTTCGGGCGGACTTTATGCTAGCTCCTACGGAGAGCTTTTGGGCATTTGCGCTTTTACCTTATAGTTATAAGAATTTAGAAATAATAAAATTATTATAACTTTATTAGACACCTTAATTCGGCATAATCTTTCTTCGTATACGCAACCGATCTTTGTAGTGTGTTTACATTTATTTTGCACGCAATTTTTATTTTCTTTTAAAATCACCATTCTTTATGATCCCTTCACATAAAGTCACTCTTAAAAGACATTAGGGAACACGAACTATGTAATATTTTGAATACATCACAGTACACATGCTAAAAAAAGAAAAAAGAAAACATATGAGCCACGTACCCTGCCCCACTTAAGTTTTAATTACGATTTAATTAGACCAAAGAAATCGCAATTTTGACGAGAAGCTAATTTAAAGTTAAATCTTTAATAAAGACTTGTTTTAAAACCTTTCACCTTGTTCGATATTTAAATTTAACTTTAAATGAGTTTTTCTATTTAATCTTTTATCGCGTGTAACTACAGTAATTACTATCTGTTATTTCAGGTAGTTTATGGTTCGCCGAGATCGAAAAACGGACCGGACGGATACACGTACACTGTGCTTTATTTATATAGATTTAGAGACGATAAAAGTCGTAATCAGCTTTTAGTATAACTGCAGGAACCATAGTCTCCATTCAAAGTGGGATGTACGAATGAAATTGAAAAAAAATTCATCACGGATATTCTGCCATTCCTCTTGACAGTAAACCTCAATCTTCTGGATGACCTTTGACTTCAATTCTCTTCACATAGGTTCGATTATGTTAAGGTCAGGGCTTTATTCAGACCAATCTTATAACACTGCTGTGTCTTAATCATTACAAAAACCTCTTTGTTACTCGCGATTTACGACAAGGTGATCCATCATGCTGGTATATTTCACTGGGCCATTTTGCCTCATGAGGATTTCACTATCGTCAGGAAACGGAAGCTTAAGTTTCATTGGCACGTCGCCGAACAGTCGGACTTGTAAAGGCAATCTTTCAGAGTTACATACCTGGAGGCATAGAAAGAAAAGAGAGAGAGAGAGAGAGAGAGAGAGAGAGAGAGAGAGAGAGAGAGAGAAAGCGAGAGAGAGAGAGATAGGGACAGAAAAAGGAAAGAGCAGGAGAACAATATCAGAGAGAGGAGAGATTTGAGCATCATCGATTATCTGCACACTGCAAGGGACAGGTATGGATGGATGGATGGATGAAGGATATATGAGGTCAGATTTATTTTTTTAGCTATCTCTGGCGCCCCAAAGACCTTGCCTGGGATTATGGAATAGGTAAATGCAAAATGGAATTTTCCAGGAAACAATAAACTTTAACCAGAAGGAAACAATGAATATTCGATTCTAAATACGTGAGCCCGAAAATGAGAGTAGTGGCAAAACTTGGTCAATTCACTTTTAAAGTTACTGGTTCAACGTTCAAAATAACTCAAGAAGCCATATAGACATCAGAAGACAGTTGCGATATATATATATATATATATATATATGTGTGTGTGTGTGTGTGTGTGTGTGTGTGTGCGCGCGCGCGCAAATATATAGAAAAATAGGAAAGAACCGTTAGGTTAATAATCCGAAGTTCTTTAGTATTTTTGTTTTATTAAAAAAAACACAAAAAAACAGTGCTCAATACACAAGTAGAGCCTATATTATACTTTTTTTAAATATGATTTCGTCGCTACATAAGAGTTCTCGTGTTTTAAAAACAGAAGCGAAAAACTTCAATTTAATTATAGAAATTAAATTAAATTAAAGTGCCTAGCTCTTTTTCATCCTCAAACGAATTTTAGAATAACTAATTTTGAAATTTACGGAGCTTTATAAGCATATACATTCGTAATATTAATTTCTATGGAAAAGGAGAAAACTAATCACTTTAATATGGGGCTGTAGGGTTTGCATTTTCTCTAACAACTATTGTATCGACATATTAGTTACTTTCGAAAAAAAGGTTAAGTTCGGGTTGGGGTGTCTATTTTCAAACGAATGATGACATCCGTTCAACGCATATCGTCTGGTCTATTTCAACGACAGAGAGTTTTGGGCACTTTTTGTTACGCCGTTAAATTTGTATTTGTAGACATAAAGATTATTTTTCTAAAATGATTGTATATGAATACGTCGTATTTAACTACAATCTGTTTTTTTGACGACTTCATAAAGGGTCTTTTTATTATTGGGTTAAGTTTTTAAACCTATTGCTTTAACTGAACATGTTTATAGACTTTGAAATTAAAAAAAAATAAACTAATTATTTAAGGCGAATATTTGTCGGTGTCGGCAAAAAAAACCGTTATCTCATGTCTTTGATTTAGTAAATTTTCGTTTTTTAGAAACTTAATAATGTGTAATTTTTCATGTGGGTATAAAAGGCACGGGTCATCCCCTGTTTTAGAAATTCTTGTTCTATTTATTATTTTCCATTTTATTTTTAGTGTTTTATTCGTTTCTTTTAAATGCTAAAAATATTTAGATGGGGATGTCTGATTTCTATTTCTAATATTATTGAGGAAGCTTTTGTGTTGTCTCCACCTAATTTTAAATTCATTCTTCTTAGATCCAATATATATCATTTCAATGTTTGTATTCTCAACGGACGAGATTGTGCATTGGTATACCACATATTCTATGCGGAATTTATTATTCAACGGGCGGTCTTCAGGGTTTCTACAATTAAATAACTTTTCATTATTTTTGTCTAATTTTAATTTATGGTTTTTATTAATTTGATTTTGGCATGAGTGTTTTTCCAGGATTTTATTATTATGTTTTTTATGATTCTTTCTAGATTTTCAGTGTAGCTGTAACTTAATTTTAATGTGTTTTTATTAAAGATTTTGATAAGTTTGCTATCAGTAGGACAGTATTTTTCAATTTAAGCTCGGAAGTTTTGTCCTAGCTTAATACTAACCATTTGGTTAAACGATGGGGAGTGGGTATACCAAATGATTTTTCTTTTTCTGTTTTTCTTCTGGTTAGTACTATTGTTTTTATAATCGATGTTAGCGTTTTTGTATTTCTTTATTTGCAGAGTTCATGTTGATTCTTAATGTGCTTAATTGTGGATGGAGGATGGCTTGACCTACGGTGTACATACAAGCGGTTAATGTTAGGTTTTCTGTAAGGTTGTCATATGTTGTGCATTAAGTCGAAAGTTATGTCGAAGAAGTTTACCCCTTTCAATTTTGTGTTAAGTGTAGTTTTTAAATTTAACTGAATTAACTATGTATTATCTTTGTAATTTTATCTATTTTAAAATTTGTTGAACTCCTCACTACCATGAGCCCGTCATCTCTGTATAGTCCCATGTCCTTAATGTCTAATTCACTGTGCGCGGTTAGGTTGTATAGTATAAATAGACCGACAAGGTCAGAAGACTCTGCAGAGTCTAAAGATCTCATAGTAATGTCAAAATGGTCTTCAGTGTTTTTCATTCATTGGACCCATTATGAATGACAGATTTTTTTGCATTAAGAATTATATTCACTTCTTCTTCTGTTAGGCCGGAATATACAGTAGCAAACTCTAGGACAGTTGTAAATAGATCTCTTGATATTGACTGGTAATAATCCACAATATCGAACTCTATTAGGGTGCAATCGGGCTTGTTGTTGATACTGGTAAACCAATTGATGACTTCTTTGGTATTAATCCAGTGTATTTCTTCTTCTGTTAGGTCGGAATAAACTCTGGATTAATGCTATATATATATATATATATATATATATATATATATATATATATATATATATATATATATATATATTTAATAATTAAAGAAAAAAACAGGCCAATTTAAGGCTCCATTTGTAATAATTTATTTCACCAGAGAATTTTAATTTTCTCTTATCTTTAGACTTCACTTTCAAAAGGTGAAACGAAGAATGAATTTTAAATTTACACTTTTGAAGGGCAGTATTAAGCTTATATAATTTGACATAGAGGGTGGTGAGTAATAGTGTGAGACATGGTCGTGTTTAGAGAGGGAAGGGAGAGTTTTAAAATTTATTTTTATTATAATACTTAATATTGAGGAAGGAGGGGGTAAGGGTCAGACATTGACCTATTTAATCGGTCAACTCAACGGAAATGATATGGGAAAAAAGAAAAAGAGAAAAAGGGGAAAGGTAAAAAAGTGGGGAAGTAAAGAAATAAGAGATTTATATATATATATATATATATATATATATATATGTATGTATATAATTTATTTGTTTAAACATTATTTTTAATGGATACAAGTTTTTATTATTAAACATTTTATTTACTTATTTACATCTACCGGCCTGAATATACAATAAATCTTGTTAGAAAATGCGCCCTCCGGCTTTGTTTGATCAGGAGGTCCTACGGGGTCCTATGAGGTCCTACGGGGTCCTATTAGGTCATACGGGGTCGATTTGGTCAAAGGCACGTCAGATCTAATGACGGTTTCTTTTAGGGGACGTAGGTTCGTATCATACCGGAGGACGCATATTTGAATCCATATATCCCCCCAACTATGGGTAATATAGCAGAACAGATTGCATCAGTCTAGAAAAAGGTAAATTCTGAATTCAAAACAGCCTGGAACTGCTCGGATCGCTAACCTGAGGACGGCTTGTGAATATAATTTCCTACTGAAGCCCCTACTATGAATTTGAACGTCATTTGAGATGCGGCAGATTCGCTTCTATTTTATCCAACAGCTGAATCGATAGAACAAGAGTATTTTGTTGACTGCTTGATAACTAGTGAATTAGTTCAAATCATCTATGATTACCAGTTCGTAGACTAGAGTCATCACATAACATACTACCTATGAAAATTAGTTATTGTTAGTAATAGCAATAGTTGGTATAATTTAGAGGAAGTTGTTTTACACCCAGATGGAGTAGGTAAGCGATAGTCATAGTCTCCCCTCTGCTATGGATTAAATAGTATGACTTGTATCACTAAACCATTATTATCTTAAAAAATTCCTTATAATGTAGAAATAAACATAGCGTGTAAAAGGGTTGATAAGCTGTAAAAAACTGAATCAATCAATCAATTTCAGTCATAGTCAGGGAATTGTTCTGAAATTAATCTAAAATATATCTGAATATATTCTAGGAGGGGGGGTAATCTGGGTTGCTACACAGTGATATCAACAATGATACCTTTGTTGGTCGACGATAATGACTCTATATATAATCCCATGCACACTGTGCAGTGTATTGATGAGGTGACCAGCGTTAAACTGGGATGGGATTTGATGCAATGATCCCTTTCGTTGGGCGACTATAATCCTTGTTAAGGCCAGGTGACCCCGTTTGCGTTTGACCCTGCCTGCACACTTCAATTGCCTCTAATGTTTTAGAAGAATTCGCACATTCTATAGCAGTTGTCACCTCGTACATAAATCCTGCCTATATCGCACTGCTGATCCATCTACAATGCCACAGCTACACCACATCTTTACCTATTACGCCACGCATACATCAGCTGATAGAGTCCATTTCTAAAAGTGTGAGGAGTGAAACCTTCCAATGTACTGCTGTCTAATTCGGGGAACACTTCACACTAAAGATCAGAAGTGAAGACACGTTTTCCCGAACCCAATGCAGAAAAAAAATCACTGTCTCATCTTTAACTAAATCATCACTACTATATAAATAATGTTTGAGACAATCCCTCAAAAATTGAAATTAGCTACTTATAAATGAATACAAAACGGTTTCAAAAAAATAATCTCATGAAATTGTCTCGAAAATGCCTGATGGCTTTAACGACGTTAAAAGTTACGATTTATAAACACACTAATAATTCAGAAACGGTTCTCGTTTTTGGAACTCAATGGACGACGTTGGCCAGACTTTTCGATGCCTTTTATGGGTCGGTTGAGTCAGTCACAAGCCACAAAAGGCAATGAAATTAATGAAGCCTGAAGAGGAAATTGTTGGAAGTAAAAAGTCAGTCGTTAAGCGGTTTGAAGAGTGTTTTATCGTAGAGCTTTTTGCGTAGGTCAGTGGGTAAATGGTGGACGGAAGTCTCTGTGGTGGTAAGAAAGGGAGATAATTTGGGTGAACAATGGGGTAACGAGTGGACAAAAAAATGCGAGAAGAAGAAAGAAAGAAAGAAAACTAGAAGAAACGAAGAAAGAAAAAGAAAAGAAAAAATGAAAAATATGAAGAGAAAAGGAAAAAAATGAAAGTTGGTAAAGAAATGAAAGAAAAAATTAAAAGTAAACAAAAAGAAAAGGAAGAAGAGAAAGAAATGTGAAATTAAAGAAATATAAAAAGGAAAAGAAAGGAACAAAAAGAAAAGCAAAGTTTTTTAAAACAAAAAGCAAAATAAATAGAGATAATAAGCAAAGAAGAAGAAAAGAAGAAGAAGAAGAAGAAGAAGAAGAAGAAGAAGAAGAAGAAGAAGAAACTGGACCAGGAGAAACTAAAAACGAGTGACAAAGACTGGAATAAATATGTAGAAAAAGATAACATGACGAATACAGGAACAGAAAGATAATAATGAAATGAAGAAAGAAAACAGAATATTTGTAGAGAAAGTAAGAAAGTTAGAATAGAGAAATAAGAAAGTACGAAGGAAATAAAATAAAACAAATAAAGACAGAAATGAAAGAAACGAAAGAAAACTAGAAGAAACGAAGAAAGAAAAGGAAAAAAAAAAAGTTGGTAAAGAAATGAAAGAAAAAATTAATTGTAAACAAAAAGAAAAAGAAAAAGAGAAAAAAATTTAAAATTAAAGAAATATAAAAAGAAAAAGAAAGGAACAAAAAGAAAAGCAAAAAATTTTAAACAAAAGGCAAAATAAAGAGAGATAATAAGCAAAGAAAAAAAAGAAAAGAAAAGAAAAAAGAATGAAAGCAAATGAAAGAGAAAAAAAGGGCGGAAGAAAGAAATACAAAGAAAAATTGAAGGACAGAAAATGAAAGATTGGCTACTGAAGATGAATCGGTGAAAAAGAAAGCATATATATATATATAGATATAGGGTTTTGGTGTCGTAGATAACCGTCTGATTGTTTATCTGAAGAACATCGACTGTTTGACTCAAATCCCTACAAAAATAGCCATTTTGTTTCAACACTTCTCGTGTCTTATCAAATGATGGTGTTGAAAGTAGAATAAAGGGTTTTAAAAGGTTTAAACTAATCAAACACCCTTCTCTAGGGGAAACGCTGTTACATAAGCTGCAATGACCAATAAAAATACAAGTATATGAGAATTCAAAAAAATTGACAACGAAACTTGGTTATAATAATTAATGCTTTATATATATATATATATATATATATATATATGTGTATGTGTGTGTGTGTGTGTGTGTGTGTGTGTGTGTGCGTGTATGTGTATGTGGAGATATATATATGCGTATGTATATATGGGTGTATATGTGTATATCTTTGTATAAATATTTATATATGTGTATATCTTATTGTATTTTTTCATTGTTACTTTGTAGGTTGATATATTTATATTTATTTCTATTTCTGTGTGTATATATGCATATGCGTATATGTGTATGCATGCGTGTATATGTGTATATATAGGTATATATATATGTATATGGGTATATGTGTATGTATATGTATGTGCGTAGGTATACCTTTGTATGTTTCTATGTGTAGTGATGAATGTATGTACACATACGTATGTATGTATTTTTTTCTTTACATATTGTCATGTATTTGTACTCGTGTAGGTGTACTAATGCGTATATAAGTATATATGAGATATTTATATATTTGTGTGTTTATGAGTTTAATTATTTATATTTCAGTTTTCTTTAAATAATATTTTAAATATCTAAAAAAAATAATGGTATATTTAAAAAATATGTTCAAGTGAATATGATTTAAAAATATTTTTTGGTATATTCAAAAATATATTTTAAGGTTAATCTGATTTTAAAAAATATTTTAAGTGAATAAGATTTAAAAATACGAGTTGTTTATACAGTAAGTGTTTTTATTTCAACTTTTTTGAAACAGACGATTTTTTATAATTAAATTATTTTAAGTTAAAGACAGACACAAAGAGAACCCGCTTTGTTATTTCGTCCATTTTTTTTTTTGGCTTTTGTAGAGTAATTATTTATATTTCAGCATTCTTTAAACAATATTTTAAATATTTAAAACAAAAAAATAATGGTATATTTAAAAAAAATATGTTCTCGTGAATATGATTTAAAAATATTTTTTAGTATATTCAAAAAATATTTTAAGGTTAATCTGATTTTAAAAAAAATATTTTAAGTGAATAAGATTTAAAAATACGAGTTGTTTATACAGTAAGTACTTTTTATTTCAACTTTCTTCAAACAGAACATGTTTTAATGTTGAAATCAACTTCAATGGTTTATAACTTGAACCAACAGTGACCCAACGGGTCACGGATAGTCTTGTATATTATACAATTCAGGCTTTGTACGTGTGTACGTGTACATCGTTTGCGCGAGTTTGCATTTGTCGTTTGCGTGTGCGTGTTTGTCTCTGTCGTTCCATTCGTATTACGGAATGGCGTATGTGTTAACTTTGCCCTTTAATCTTGCCAGTCCTTTTAGCACGATTACTTTTTCACAACTTATCTTTTTTTCCATTGTTCATTTCCCGCCTCTTCCCGACTTTCTAACATGGAAGCTGGCATCATTCATGATTAAAACACTGCCGTTCTCGTCTTCTATTTAACTGCTATTGACACTTCAGCATGCAGAGGATGTCACAGTAAAAAAACTACAACACTGAACGCGCTGTGTGATGTCGGGAAAACCTATTACCGTTCAATTTTCTCTTCCCCCCCTCTCTCTCTCTCTCTTAATTTCTTATCGCTTGTCAATTGCCTTTCTTCACATTATTCTTTCTTTCCCTTATTAAAAAATCTTACGAGCTACTTTTTCTACCTTAGTTCATATATATATATATATATATATATATATATATTCGCTCGAGGATGAAATGGAACTGATGTCTTTAATTTAATTACAAAATTAAATTCGAAGCTTTTAGCTTCGATTTTTGAAACATGGTTAGAACTGTGTAGCGGAAAAACCATATTTTAAGTCAATTAATTTATAATATTAATGCTCTGTAAATTTACATTGAGCACTATTTTGTAAAAATAAAAATATCTATAAGAACACCGGATTATATATCTTAATGTTCTTTCTTTACACACACACACACACACACACACACACACACACACACACACACACACACACACATATATATATATATATATATATATATATATATATATATATATGCACGTTTGATTGAATACGACAGACAAGGTGCTTTGATTTATTTTTTTATACAATTCCTCATGTGATCTTATAATTTCTTTTCTTTTCGGAGGATAAATGATATAAAAACTGTCCAATTGTTCTTTCTTTACGAGCGCTTTCGGCTATACATTTAGCCATTTTCAAGGTTGAAATATATTAACTGTTAACAAGAGATATATTGTGACTGGGTTCAAAACATGTAAAAATAGGTGTTATTACCAGCAATACATTATTCTAATGAATTACGACCAGCAATTCATTTTTGAAGAAAAAAATTATTATCTGCAATGGATTATTACCAGTAATACATTTTTTTTAAATATATTACCAACAATACATTTTTGAAAATAAAATATTACCAGTAATAAAAATCTTCTCGGCATTAAATAACCCATTGAAGTTGGTATGCCGTAAACCAAAAAACCAAACCAAACCAAACCCTAAAACTTCTTGTGTTTTAGTGTCTTTACTGCCTTACATGGGGTGATACTGAATAAAAACAAAAATTATGCGATAAAACAAAGACAATTTACATATTCTATTCATATGAACCTATCCTAAAAATCTTGTCGAGATTAAATAACACATTGCGGTGTTGATATGCCGTAAAACAAAATAAACCAAAGTGAACTGATTTCTTACAGAAAATACATATTCTATTCATATGAACCTATTCTAAAAATCTTGTCGCCATTAAATAACCCATTGAGGTTGATATACTGTAAAACAAAATAAACTAAACAATTTGAAGCAATCGGATATCTACCCTCACTGTTGACATGTGATACAGCAAAACATATCTATATATATATATATCTCGACAAGTTCTGTCCATCCAATGTTTTATTAACTTTTTTCAAATTTAAGAATCAGTTGTTTTATATTGGTGCAATATTAGCATAAATTGCTTCCATTAACCAAAGCAACGCCGAAATTAAGCCAAAACCAGTTAGATAGACACACGCAAAACGTAATTCTTGAAAACGAATGTAGCAACATTCGAAAGTACTCGGTGCACTAAAAGAACAAATAAAAATTAATATTGACCAATTTTTCCGATTATATATATATATATATATATATATATATATATATATATGAATGAAAAGACAAGATGAAAACTATACTTAATTTTTCCCCAACACAACTTAATCAAAGCAAATGCGATTTATTTTGCAAAAAGTATATATTTGACAGTTACTCAATATTTTTCTAAAATTTAATAGCGCTCATAAATATTCATCAGGTTAACTGAAAAGTTTAGGTGTTAGGATATAGCTTACGTCAGTTAACCTGATGAATAAGAAACAATGAAAATAAATAAAGAATAAAAAGAAAGAAAGAAAGAAGAGATAAAAGAAAAAGAAAGAAAGAAAGAAAGAAAGAAAGAAAGAAAGAAAGAAAGAAAGAATGATGAGAGAACAAGAAAGGGAATGGAAGAAAATTGGTAAGAGAAAGAATGAATGAAAGAAAGGACGATGACAAAAAACAGAAATAATAATACACAGGAAAGAATATAAAGACAATTGATAAAAGAAAGAAAGAAAAAAAAGAAAGAACAGAAACGAAAAAACAGAAACAATGACGAGAAAAAAAAGAAAGAAAGAAATTTCGTAAAAGAAAGAAATAAAGCCAGATGGGGAAAAAAGAATGAAAGAAAGAAAAGAAAGAAAGAAAGAAAGAAAGAAATGAAGAATGAATGAATGAATGAAAGTACAATGAGAGAATAAACAGAATTAGTGAGAAAAGGACGGAAAGTGATTTCTGAAAGAAAAAAGAAAAGAAAGAAAGATGAAAGTAATACAAAAAAGAAAATGGAAGAAAGAAAGAAAGAAAGAAAGAAAGAAAGAAAGAAAGAATGAAAGTACAATGAGAGAATGAACAGAAATAATGAGAAAAAGGACAGAAAGAAAGAAAGAAGAAAAGAAAGAAAGAAATATAGAAAGTGAGAAAGATGAAAGTAATAAAAAGGAAGATGGGAGAAAGAAACAAAGAAACAAAGAAAGGAAGAAAGAAAGAATGAATGAATGAATGAATGAACGTACAATGAGAGAATAAATAGAATTAATGAGAAAAAGGACAGAAAAGAGACTGCTGAAAGAAAAAAAGCAAGAAAGAAACAGGAAAATAATACAAAGAAAGAAAGAAAGAAAGAAAGAAAGAGTGAAAAAAGAAAGAAAGAAAAAGTCATAAAAGAAAACAAAATGTACAACAGAAAGGGGCTATAAAAATACTGAAAATAAAATGGTTGTTAAAAGTCACAGAGAAAAAAAGAAATCTAAAAACAGTAACTGTGTAAAAAGAAAAAAAAAGAGATGACATTAATGAAAAAGTCATTGGCATTTACACACACACACACAAAAAAAAAACAAGAAAAACATTCACTATTCAAAATAAAACTCTGAAAAGGCATCAGCATCCTCGTGTCGAACATCATTAAAGAAAGTCCCTTGTACATTTTAATAGAAATCAATTTGGACTACAAAAAAGATAGGAAAAAAGCTCCATTGTTCAACATGATTGTTTCTCTATTCCTCACACCAGGATGAGGCTGTGAAAATATTTCAAACTAATGAAAGTGAGGTGGGCGGGTCTAGAAACTCTTTGAAATTCGCCGATTTCAGCAAGTTTTATTCTTAGAAGCCATTTAACAACTGGTTTGTTTCCGTAAACTGTTTAAATGTCCAAAATACCTATTAGGGTCGGCTTATTTCTTTTTCGAGTTTTACCTTTTGGACCTGTTAAGCCACATTGCTCACATGTCATAGACAAGCTGCACACATCGAAGACGCCAATTGTTAGTTTATAGAATCGCCTATTCGCTTGGAAAATACAATAACTGTCCGCTTAGATCTGGAAACTCAGACTGGATGACGTACGATATAAGTAAAAATGAACTTTATTGTACGAACTACATTTCCGGAGAAAAATTGCCATTATTCACACTTCCTAAATAAAATCAGGGATTGTCAGCAACGATACAAGGTCGTTATTAATAATGGGAGGGGATTATCTATCTATCTATCTATCTATCTATCTATCTATCTATCTATCTATCTCTTTGTATTTATATATATCTATTTATCTATGAAAGACTATTCATTTCTATCTATTTAACAATCTTAGTCTGAATCATGCTCATCTATCTATCTATCTATCTATCTATCTATCTATCTATCTATCTATCTATCTCAGTCTGTTCATATCTATCTATCTATCTATCTATCTATCTATCTTTTTCTGTTCATATATATATATATTTATCTTTGAAAGACTATATATAACTATCTATCTATGAGGGACTATTCATATCTATCTATTTATCAATCATAGTCTGAATCATGTCTGCCTATCTATCTATCTATCTAGCTAGCTAGCTAGCTAGCTAGCTATCAAATTCGTCATAATCGTGTAAATGTTGAATACATCTAAGAAATTTTTATTATTTATTTTTTATGCAAATTACTTATCCGTTTTGTTTTTCCAGTTCGAATTAGCTTTTTAATGACAAATAAATCAAATATGTAAATTCGTCGGTCGCGTCAAATTTACTGAAGCGTTTATTAAAACAATATTTGCTATTTCCCAATTATAAATCTAATTGCCTTTTCATCACCTGACTTCACACCATTTTGCACAAACATCAGAGTTAAACGTAAAGTTTGCTCTGTTTTATTTTACCTATCATATTAAGCTTTTCTTCTTTCTTTCAAAGAATGTATTTCTACATTACTGTTTGCGTCTCGTGATCACCTGTGTAATGACACTTTTTGATGATAATTATACGCCAATGGAAAAATATCTATCTATCTATCTATCTATCTATCTATCTATCTATCTATCTATCTATCTATCTATCTATCCCATTCTGTTAATATCTACCTATTTCAGTCTGTTCATCCTATCTATCTATCTATCTATCTATCTATCTATCTATCAGTCTGTTCAATATCTATCTATCTATCTATCTATCTATCTATCTATCTATCTATCTATCTATCTCATTCTGTTAATATCTACTTATTTCAGTCTGTTCATTCTATCTATCTATCTATCTATCTATCTATCTATCTATCTAGCTATCTATCTATGTATTTCAGTCTGTTCATTATCCCTATCTGTCTCTATCAGCCTGTTCATTACCTCTCTATCTATCTCAATATATATATATATATATATATATATGTGTGTGTGTGTGCGTGTGTGTGTGTGTGATTATTTATTTAAAAATTATAACATAAATATGTTATAAAATCACTACAAAAATAGTCATTTTTTTCAACACCTCCGGTGTTTTAGATTGATGGTTATTGGAATTTATTCCTTATACACCAATCCTATACTATATATATATATATATATATATATATATATATATATGATTAATATTTATATAAAATTTATTACTTAGCTGATTTATGTTACTTCAGTATTCCGACTCTAGAGTTTCGTAGACGAATCCTCCAGCCATCACTCCATCTAATTGTTACGGGATATCTGCGCATTCTTTATTAAGATTTCTCGAATGCACTAATCGATAAACATAATACACACGATTGAAATAAAAGCGGACATTTATCTCAACTAGAAGTAACCACTATAATAACGTTTGACGTCATATATATATATATATATATATATATATATATATATATATATATATATATTACGTCACAGTGGATATTCGTATCTGAAATAAACGCCCCCTTTTTTCAAAAATATGTGTTACATTTATCGTCCAGCGCATTCGAGAAACTTTAATAAAGAAAACGTGCTCTTCGGCAGGCTTCTAGTTTCTCGTTGCACATGCCATCTATGGTTATAGAACAATCGGAGGGGATTATCTATCTATCTGTCTATCTATCTATCTATCTATCTATCTATCTATCTATCTATCTATCTATCTATCTCAGTCTGTTCATATCTATCTATCTATCTATCTATCTATCTATCTATCTATTTCAGTTTCTTCATCTCTATCTATCTCAGTCTGTTCATATCTATCTATTTATCTATTTATCCATTTCAGTTTCTTCATATCTATCTATTTCAGTCTGTTGATATCTATCTATCTATCTATCTATCTATCTATCTATCTATCTATCTATCTATCTATCTATCTCAGCTTGTTCATATATATCTATGGTTATAGAACAATCGGAGGGGGTTATACGAACCCAGTAACCCCATGTGCCGTAATGGCTGTCTCGCCTTGCTTGGGATGAAATGATTTTTCTAAAAAAAAAGTTGAAACAGTAGAAAAGTTAATAATATGATGAAAAAATAATGTTGATTATGTTCATCTCTTTAAGGTGATTTAATCAAATAGTGAAATTATATTTTTTTTCAAAATAAAATAGACATTGGTTAACTGATGTTTGTGTAGTTTTCTTTATCTATTTAGAAGGGTACTATTATGTTCATTGCATCTATCTATCGTAATTAAATATATTGATATTGTTAAATATATTGATATTGGTAACTGTTATGGTCCAAGTTAGGACCAAGGAAGAACAACACGAACACAAGAGTAGAAATAACGAAGGTATATTACACGAAATAATAATACAAGATGAGGAAGGTGTTAGTATGACTGTCAGTCTGGTTTGGAGTGAACTACTATCGGTTCGACTCGATTCGTCCCTCTCTCTTGAGAAGCGTAATATACATAGTGTTAGAAAGAGTTCATTCTGTAGTTATAGGTAAGGACACATGACAGAAACCAACGGAAAAGCCTCGCTCTGTGCGGACTTTTAAGCTAACACGTGCGGAGAGCTAATTGGGCCTCCGATCAAAAAGTAAAGCGGCTTTTGGTCCAACTTTTGATAATTTTGAAGAAATAACTTTGAATTTATCAATTCCCTCCATGGAACTTCAAACCATCAAATTAACTCTGATTCGTTCTATAAGTCCAATTCCGGTCAAAAGACCCATTTGGGCCGAAAGTCCGATTTGGCCCAAAACTAGAATTTGGGCCGAAATTCCAATTCAGGCCAAAAATTGAGTTCTTCAAGTCATAAACTCCGTGGAACTTCAATTGAGCTGAATTCTTCAAATGAAAAACCCTGCATAACTTCAAAACTTCACATCACGAAATCTCTCACTTTAACTTTGATTCCTTGGCATTTTGAAGAAATAAAATTGATTTCTTCAATTCACAAAGTTTTCGAGATATTTTAAGCTAAATTTAAAATATTTTTTTTTTAAATTCACAAAGTTTTTGTGTTCCAATATAAATTAAAATAATCAATATAAATTAAAAACAACTTTTAAAATCGATAATGTTTTTCAGTTATTTTCAAAATTTGAATTTATAACTGTTCCCTCCTCATCCGGACACAAATCCCAATGGTGGATGTTCGAGCCCCAGATGAAGGACAGATTTTCAGTCGAGGGAGGCCATGTTGAAGGATGGTAATCTCGATGCTGGAGAGAAATGTCCGAAAGAGAACCTCGTTTTAGTGATGCGGTCCTCACAACTGATGCGAAGGATACTTCGGAGCTTCGTTTGTTCTAGACGTTTGATGTCCCGGCGATACAAAGTCCAGTTCTCGCAAAGCGCAGGAAGATGGAGAGGGCTACAGCTCTGAAGACCATGATTTTGGATTTTAGTTTTTAACTTGAATCAAGTTAAAACTATCATTACAAAAACTGTTTATGAAACGGGCAAAGATATTCAACAACAAACATCTGGGAAGCAGTAACAACAGCCACAGTTTTGTTCTTTTTCGTCCTTTCTCTTCACAAAGTCGTATGTTTCTCTTCCGTTCCCAGTAATCTCAGGCGTCTTTGTGGCATTGTCATCTTGATTGGGGTGAAATTATTTAAAGAGCCTGTTTTAAAGTTACTAAATCAATGGAAGATCTCCAGGCCTCTCCAAAAATTAATGGAAAATAGAAAACTTGTGGTCTATCATTAAAAGAGATATATGTGAAAATGAAAAAAAAAATTCACACACAGAACTCTGGAAAAACAGCTACCATTAATTTTAGAGATATGTTCTTTTATTGGCTTTTCTCTTCACTAAAATCTGATCTTTCCCCTTCGCTCCCAGTAATTCTCTGCGTCTTGGGGTATGATCCTCTTGCTTGGGGTGTAATGATTGTTTTATTAAAAGTTGGAACAACAAAAAGTCAATAAAATTAATTGATTAAAAACTAAAGCTGATACCTGTCTATATTTCCGAGATGAGGTATTATGTAAACTATTTACATTATTTGGACTATTGTCCTCATCTTTGTCGCCATATTTATCCGATCCTTCAGTATCTGTCTATATTTCCAAGATGAGGTATTATGTACACTATTTACATTATTTGGACTATTGTCCTCATCTTTGCCACCATATTTATCCGATCCTTCAGTATCTGTCTATATTTCTGAGATGAGGTATTATGCACACTATTTACATTATTTGGACTATTGTCCTCATCTTTGCCACCATATTTATCCGATCCTTCAGTATCTGTCTATATTTCCGAGATGAGGTATTATGTATACTATTTACATTATTCAGACTATTGTCCTCATCTTTGTCGCCATATTTATCCGATTCTTCAGTATCTGTCTATATTTTTGAGATGAGGTATTATATACACTATTTACATTATTCGGACTATTATCCTCATCTTTGTCGCCATATTAATCCGATCTTTCAGTATCTGTCTATATTTTTGAGATGAGGTATTATGTACACTATTTACATTATTCGGACTATTGTCCTCATCTTTGTCGCCATATTAATCCGATCCTTCAGTATCTGTCTATATTTTTGAGATGAGGTATTATGTACACTATTTACATTATTGTCCTCATCTTTGTCGCCATATTTATTACAACGCTCCGGCCTTCTTCAGGTGGTTGGAATGTTGAACTGAACCCTTTATTTCGCTCACTGGGGTAGACTGTTCTAGTTCCACGTGCCATGTTTAATGGATGTCAGTTATCACCTATTAATTCCCCTCTCCAAATTCTCCACTGCCTTAACCAGGTATTGAACTCACTCTCTTTGGCTCCTGGATCTAACTAACACCTTTATCCACTGTTCCTTGAGGACATTTGTGTATGAATTTCTTGGTATTATAAACCTAATGTCTTCAGTAACCATATGTCCTCAAGGACACATGACACAGTGGATAAAGGCGTTGGTTAGCCTCGTCTGGGTTCCTCTCCGCCCGAAGGTAGAGAGTTCGACTAGCTTAGCTGGAGACGAATCTACAACTTATTACCGACGCAAGTGGAAGAAAAGTAAGTTAGAATGCGTTGTTTTGGTGTAAGGAATAATGTTGTATGTTTGGGTCAGTGTTTGTGGCTAGCTAAGATTAACGTTAAGACAGAACAAGACCGTCCTTTTTCTCTATTCCCCATTTTGGCCTTGTGCCGCATTTCTGTACATATGACAATAAATAATGCTCTTCACCAGGGTACCTAGACTTTATGAATTTAATCGCAGTACTAGACTGGCATCAAGGTAATCACCAATATTTGTCCCGATGTAACCATAAATTCTATACTAACAGTCTGGTGGTAGACAGCTACCCGACCTCGTTTTTACGGGATCCACGGGAAATTTTTACCCGGGCCCAAGTGCTCGGTTTTACCCCGGATTAAATAACGGTCTTGTGGCACATCCTACCTCGGGTGAGGTAAATAACCTTATTTTTCTTCCACCATAATACCTCATTGTCTCTATGAGAGTCCTAACTAGTCCCCATATGTACAATTCATTGTCTGTGGAAGGGGTTATCTATCTATCTATCTATCTATCTATCTATCTATCTATCTATCCGAATAAATCATCCGAACAGCTGCCATGGAAGTATTTAAAGAAAAGGCACAGAGAGGCAACTTTAGTGCGGTTAGAAAGTGACTGAAATCGAGAGGCCAGATCAGGACCGATAATATTGCTGAGTCTTCTTTGGATATTATCAAGGGGCTCTCTATATATGGCGGGAGCATCAGATCATATTTGACAGCAATATTCTAAGCATAACGAATGCTATACTTATAGATATGTAAGGAAAACAATACGCGCGTTTGTGTATGACAGAGAGAGAGAGAGTGAGAGAGAGAGAGAGAGAGATCGCACGAGAGAGCTCGCGTGCGAGAGATAAAGATGGGTAGTAAGTGGGAAAAAACTCACACCTTTCACAACGCATGCGTATATGTATACTGAAAGACATATTGTCCGACGAACAGACATGCTCACTGGCTTAAAGAGCTTCGGGAAAATGCATAGAACGTTAAAAAAGTAAGTTTTTAAAAGTGTCTATGATGCTTCCGGCCTGGACACACATGACCGTTAGGAAATCCAATTCATTTTTTTATATGCTAAATTTCCCTTAATTCAAGCCTCGAGAGCCACTGAAGGAGGAGCGAGAAAGAGAAAGGGAAAAATCAATTTATTTATTTGCATAATAAATTACACACAATACAAGACTCGAGTGCCACTGAAGCAGGAGAAATTAAGAGAAAGCAGAAGCAATTTATTTTTTTAATATGTTAGATTTCATCCAATTCAAGCCTCAAGAGCCACTGAAAGAGGAGCGAGAAAAAGAAAGGGAAAATAAACTTAATTTTTCATATGTTAAATTTCACGCAATACAAGCCATGAGAGCAATTGTAAGTGGAGCGAGAAAAGGAAAGGGAAAATCAATTTATTTATTTACATGCTAATTTACACACAATACAAGCCTCGAGTGCCGCTGAAGGAGGAGCGAGAAAGAGAAAGGAAAAATTTATTTATTTATTTACATGGTAATTTAGACACAATACAAGCTTCGAGTGCCACTGAAGGAGGAGCCAGTAAGAGAAAGCAGAAGCAATTTTTTTTAATCTTAAATTTCACCCACTTCAAACTTCAAGAGCCACTGAAGAGGGAGCTAGAGAAAGAAAGGGAAAATCAATTTATTTTTTATATGTTAAATTTCACCCAATTCATCTGTCTCTTTACAATTGATAGTTAGTCCTTTCTTCTAGCTATCCTTTGTTACCTACAGTTTTCATCCTGTGTCTGTCATCTACGCATCATACTTTGACATGATTGTGCCCATCATAAATCTTGAAAGAACTTATAGGCATTCTAAGAATAACATTGAATGCTGGACGATCTCCTCACAGTTGAAGAGGATATTTGAAACAAGAGAAAAATGTCGCGAATACTACGGATGAAACGTGTGAGCAACGAGGAAGGCTTAAGAAAAATGAGAACGGAAAGGGCATTTTTGCTTAAGATTAAAAATAGAAAAGAGGTCTTGGTGAATTTAACACTCACAAGAAATATTGGTGGGCAAAGGGAAACATCGAATAACATACACCTGGGAAAAAGCAAAAATTTGTGTAAACGGGCAGCAGAATATGGACTTGCCGGGAAAATAAAGGGGGAAAAAAAAACATTCCTTAAGGATACGATAGAGAGGAAATTATAGGGGACGAGGGGTGCCAATGTCATGAAAGGAGATGGCCTATAAAATAAGAAGGAAATAGTAGTCGAAGTCGAATTCCTTCGCATTTTGCAATTCCGACTATTGCTCACCTTCTTAATGAAAAAGAAAAGTTTTCAAAGTTAAGACCTTATGAAGTGAAAGGACAATAAAAGTTCGAATATTAATTCAGAGACCTCCTCAAAAAACGCAATACCTAAAGTCTAAAATGAATTTTACAAAATGAAAAATCTCTCTTGAAGCTTTTATTTTACTTTCAATTTCAAGCTAATAGATTAAATTTTGTTATATTGGAATAAGTTGTCGCTGCCGACACAGAAGTTTGAACACAGATCACCAGACGGCAAATACAGGCGATCCCATTTTGAATAAGTAGATCACGTGATAGTAAAAGAAATCTATATACGGGAATTAGAGTGACGTCCAAACGATCACAATTTCTACTCTATCCACTATTATTATACGGATCGCTATTTCTAGTCTATCCTCTATTACTATACGGATCGCTATTTCTAGTCTATCCTCTATTACAATTCGGATCGCCATTTCTATTCCATCCTCTATTACTATCCGGATCACTATTTCTATTCTATCCTCTATTACTATACGGATCGCTATTTCTACTCTATTCTCTATTACTATTCGGATCACCATTTCTATTCTATCCTCTATTACTATACGGATCGCTATCCTCTATTACTATACGGATCGCTATTTCTATTCTATTCTCTATTACTATTCGGATCGCTATTTCTAGTGTATCCTCTATTACTATAAGGATCGCTATTTCTAGTCTATCCTCTATTAATATTCGAATCGCTATTTCTAGTCTATCCTCTCTTACTATACGGATCGCTATTCTCTATACTATTCACTATACTATTTCTCTATACTGATCATTATTCGTTGGTTACTATTCGAGCGAGTATTATCGAGCAAGTACTTTTAGTGCGAGTGTTATTCGAAGACGCTTGACACCAGTATTGTTCAACGGAGTTTCTATAGTTGTATCTGCAATTACAAAGTCTCTATTACAACGATTATTACGTAAGTGACAACGAGTGTTCTAAATTCTATACTAACAGTTTCTCCGTCCTGGGTACGACGATAAACTACATCCGCTTCCTGGGTAAGACGATAAACTACGTCCAACAGCAAGGCCTCTAATCAGGAGATTTTGAGGAGCGTGGAACCACCTCTTAATTGCTGGTGTTCCCATGTCCACCCTGATTCGAGGTGGTAGCACCTGTTAAGATCCCAGGTATGGACAAATAGTTAACCCCCAAACTGGGGTCAAAACGTGTAAAAACAGATTTTAATAACACCAAATCTTGGGAAAAAATATTGCCAGTAAAACTTTTTTTGAAAAATGTTACTAGAAATGCATTTTTGGAAAAAAAATATTACCAAAATTCATTTTTGAAAACAATATTACCAGCAATAAAAATATTGTCGGCATTAAATAACATATTAATGTTGATATGTCGTAAAATAAACCAAACAGCAGCTGGTATTCCGAAGCGGTCACCAATTGAGGTACTGACCAGGCTCGACGTTGCTTAACTTTGGTGATCGTATGGGAATTGGTGTTTCAACGTGATATGGCCAAAACAGAGAATTTATAAAGAAATCTATAGGTAATGAATACGAGTTGTGAAAAGAAAACCCAGAGAATGTAATTACTTTATTTGTTTGTCATAAAAAAAGGGCGGTGAGAAGGGATGAAAGTCTTTATTACAATTCCCCCGCCCAAGAAAACCACATTTAATAACATTACTTATGAACACGGCCATAATGCACTGGCCGTATTTGGAAATTATGAATCCGTCAACCGACAGCAATTTTTAAATAACCTCTTAATTGCTGGTGTTCCCAGGTCCACCCTGATCCGAGGTGGTAGCACCTGTTAGGGTCCCAGGTATGGGCAAATAGTTAACACCCAAACTTGCGTAAAAATAGGTTTTAATACCAGAAATACTTTGTAATAATAAAAAAAATATTACCGTCAATAATTTTTGAAGGAAAAATTATCATTATCAATACTTTAAAAAAAAACAGCAATACAAACTAAATTTCCTAAAACAGTTGAATTGTACTCAAAAATATGAGTAATTGAAAAATGGTTCAAATATATATGTATACATACACACCTTTTTTTTTTTTATCAAACTATCGCTATGAATCTATTTCAAAATCTTGTTGGCATTAAATGACCCACAGAGGTTTTGATATGCCATAAAACAAACCTTACCGACCAACCAACTAACAGTTTCTTTTCTCGCACTTCTTGTGGCACTCTCTTCTGACTCCATGCTTTTCCAACCAACATTAATCATCAAACATTTAAATACAATGTCAATCGCTTTCTCATGTCGTCATGCTTACTCTTCCTTTTTGTTCCTGGTTAGTAAATTTTCTATTTTCTAATTCTTCCACTCCCAGTAAACGCTTCTAACTTAGTCGCTTTACTGCCCTGAAATCGATAAAAAAAAAAAAGAGACTCGTCACGCATTATCGCCTTTCTGCATGTTTGATTGACTTTATCGTATATCCAATAAAAACCAGCCAAGCACCAAAACCTTTCCATTATACTCATTTCCATATTTTAATCTTCATAACCACACAAAGGCAAAAAATAAATAAATAAAAATAAAAAAAATAAAAATAATAATAATAATAAAAATAAACGAAAATAGTATTTAAAATGCATCGTATGAATTTGTTAACAAATACGATGAACATTCACGGTTTGTCAGACTAGCGGTAAAACACGGGTAATTATACGATATGCTATCCAAGAATGCGGATAATGGAGACTGTAGCGCCAGGCGGAGGTAGCACGGTCTTTTGATGCAAATTTTTCTAGCTTCTTCTCCAAAAAGGTTACTTCGAAGAAGAGGGTGGAAACTAGGTGTCAGGATAAATAAATGTTTACAAAGTAAAAATTTTGGTCAACACCTTGCATATATGTATATATGCAAGTAGGTAGGTAGGTATCAAGGTAGACAAACATATATGAACAGGAAAGTAAAAATGGAGAGATGGGAAGATAGATCACAATCAACTCGAAAAACATTTTAACTTATTTATTTTTTTAAATCAATTCTCCTCAAGCAAGGAGATAATGCCGCTAAGACGCAAGGGGGCTACTGGTAATGAAAGAATGTGAAGACTTTAGAGGGAACCGAAAACACAATACTAAACAAGAAACAAGGAATAAACCTCTACTCTTGGTGAAAAAAAAATGGGGGAGGAGTGTGAACCGAGCAACAGGCGAGCCTATCTACTCAAGTAAATAACTGTTGTAGACATTAATTATTTTAACTATATTAATTCATATCATACTCAGGAT